TGAGAAGTGGAGGTTGCAGTGAGTGGAGCTCGCACCACTGCACTCCAGCCTGGGCAACAGAGTAGCCGCTGTCTCAAATAATAATAGTAATAATATTAATACCATAATATTATTAGGAATTGGGAAAATTTGAAAAGGATGGTTATCACGTGATAACATAAAATTGTTGCTCACTTCCTTAGGTGTGATAATGGTTTCATGGTTATGCAGAAGAATGTCTTTATTCTTTTTTTTTGAGATGGATTCTCCCCTTATCATCAGGCCGGAGTGCAGTGGCACAATCTTGGCTCACTTCAACCTCTGCCTCCCAGGTTCCAGAGACTCCTGCCTCAGCCTCCTGAGTAGCTGGGATTACAAGCACCTGCTACCATACCCGGCTAATTCTGGTATTTTTAGTAGAGTCGGGGTTTCACCATGTTGGTCAGGCTGGCCTCGAATTGCTGACCTCAAGTGCTACACCCACCTCAGTCTCCCAAAGTACTGGGATTACAAGCGTGAGCCACTGTGCCCAGCCGAATGCCTTTATTCTTAGAATATATGTCCCAACATATTTATGGGGAAAGTGTCATACTTGTAATAAATATATATACATGCAGACATACATATACATAAATATAAAATATATATGGCACATAAAAATTACATATATGCAAATATACATGTGCATAATATACACACACAATATACACATACACATACAAAAACACATATATACATATACCCCACACAAATATATACATACACAAATATATATATATATACATGTATGCACATATATACATTATTAATACTTAACTGTTATATATTACAGGCATATAAAATATGGCAAAACATTAATTGGTGAATCTTGGGTGGGTGATGGGCTTTCATTATACTCATTTTTCAACTTTTCTGTTAAGAGTATTTTAGAAACCTGTCAAAATATAAAGTAGGCAAGGGAAATATAAATGCCTCCTGGAGAGATATTCCAGGATCATCATTCATGAACACCTTGGTGACGTGAATTCATAACAGGTTTCTCAAAAGGCATTCAAGAGATAGTTGTAAGTGTTCAAGGGGGAAAACATGATGCTAGCTAGAAGCTGTGAAAAAACAACAACTATGGAGTTTCCACCTAGGAAAATGCTAGCTTGTAAGGCCCTTTCCAGGCAATAGGTTTTGATGTAGGACAGTAAAGGCAGGCCAGAAGTGTGAGCCTCTAAGAAATGGAATCGGGGCAAGCCAGGGCTGTCCACAGCACTCCCAGGTTCCTGCAGTAAACCCTGGAATCAACGGAATCAACTGGCCCTCTAGCTGCTCCCAGTGGTTGGCAGCTGATCCAAGTTCAATGCTATTTAATCTCTTTGTGAGCTAAGTATGTTTCTGAGTAGACAAGTAAGTGAAAATAGGACAAATATAATTCTATTCAGGATTCAACAAGGGAGCTTGCTATTTAAGTAAAACTTCAAATTCCATTTAAATATTTTATATTAAAGACATCACTGCAAAGTTAATGCATGTTTACTGTTGAAAATCCTGAAAACATAAATAAGTACAAAGATAATAAAAATAATCTGTCATCTCACTGTTGAGCCTTGGTTGCATTTACTTCCTGTTTTCTTCACAGAGAATCATTTTGAAACAGGTAGAGTCAACCTGTATATATAACTTGGGTCCTTTTTTGTTTTTCCTAGTTAACACTGTATTATGGGTAGTTCCCACAACATTATATAAAAAAATACCACATTCTCTCTGAAGAACAATTCAGAAGAACTAGGCTGAAATTAAAAACTATAAATGCCAAGAGATGTGGTGGATCAACACTGGCATCCTTTTTACAATGACATTAATTAAAATTCAAAAGTAGCATCAGAGGATGTCACATTTAGTAAGCATAGTTTCATCAAACTTTTGTTCCAGTTAGATATGTATCCAAGCCATCGTGTACATGTGTTTCTCTCAACACTTGTGTGAAAATTTTGAAAACTTCCAGGCTAGAGAAACCCTTACAAGGATACACATTGAACATGCTCTCTAAAGCACTGGTGGAAATGCTGAAAATCTGGAAACTTCCAAGATGTTCATCAACAGGGAAGGCAAAGCAAAAAGAACTGTGGCATTTTCACAAGGAAGAATACTATATAGCAGTGAAAGCCAGTGTGCTGAAAGCTTCATCTAGTACAACAGAGAAGTTGGGGAAAGAAGCAGGTTGCAAAGTTTCATAGCACATGAAGCATGCCAATTTCAAACACAAACACGTGCATGCACACACTCACCCAATACTCTATATTGCCAAAGGCAGTGCATATTATAAAGGAAAAACCTCTAAAAAAAAAGGCCTGGGCACACAATATAAATGTGTGTTGGATGCATCACACACCCCCTCTGTGATCTCAAGTCTGTGAGAAAAGAGCCAGCTTCCTGTGGCCACAGGGATGACCCCTTTTCTTTCACTCTGCATTTTCTGAACACACACTGTATGCCAGGCCCTGTTCTAGGCATCAGTAATTTAGCAGTGGATCAAACAATGAAGACCTCCACCTCGCAGAGTAGGCATTCTAGCAGGGATAAGCAAAGTACTGCAGAATCTGTCACTATCAAATGCTCACTCTGCAAACTGAGGAAGCACATACGCCTGCAATCCAGTTTCTTAGTTAGGCTCCTTTCCCAAACTGTCCCAATCTCTATCCGCTGCCTACAACTCAAAAGCCAAGCGGCTTCAGAAAATGAACTGCCCAAAGAAGAAGCTAGGGCATGGATCTTCCCTCTGATACAAGCTCTACTATCACCTACACGCAGCAGCAAACAGTCCTTAGGCCAGCAGCTGCAGTCCTAGGGCATGTGAGGATTCTGCCTGTTACTGAGTAAGAAGAGGGTTTAGAGGACAGATATGACCTGTCAGGCTCCCACTGGATCCTGGAAAGGCCAGAGGCAAGGGAGCAAGGAAATGCCCATATCAGGGAGAAGAGGTGTGGTGATGTGGCTGAATTCTGGGAATATTTATTTTTATTTTTATGATTGTATCTTACTTTTTTAAAAAAAAAAATATATATATATACTTTTTAAATTGCATTTTAGGTTTTGGGGTACATGTGAAGAACATGCAAGATTGTTACATAAGTACATGCGAGATTATTGCATAGGTACACACATGGCAGTGTGATTTGGCTGCCTTCCTCCCCATCACCTATATCTGCTATATCTGGCATTTATATTTCTTTTTTTTTTAGACTGAGTTTCGCTTGTTACCCAGGCTGGAGTACAATGGCGCGATCTCGGCTCACTGCAACCTCCGCCTCCTGGGTTCAAACAATTCTCCTGCCTCAGCCTCCCGGGTAGCTGGGACTACAGGTGAACGCCACCATGTCCAGCTAATTTTTGTATTTTTAGTAGAGAAGGGGTTTCACCATGTTGACCAGGATGGTCTCGATATCTTGACCTCATACTCCACTCACCTCGGCTTCCCAAAGTGCTGGAATTATAGGTGTGAGCCACCACGCCCGGCCTTATTTTTATATATTTCTTGAGACAGATTCTCGCTCTGTCACCCAGGCTGGAGTGCAGTGGCACAATTTTGGCTCACTGAGCCTCCGACTCCCAGGTTCAAGCAATTCTTCTGCCTCAGCCTCCCGAGTAGCTGGGATTACATGCATGTGCCACCAAGTCCAACTAACTGACTTCTGGAAATATCTTAACGGTTAAGGCATGAGATTTTGGGCCGAGACGACGTGGGGGTGCGGGAAAAAGAGAAATATCCAGGTGGACAATGAGGATTGTGGGTGGAAGGAGTCTAGAAGGACTGAGTTTGGGGGAGAGGAGATGCTCAGCTGAGGACCCCAAAGTCTCAGATGCCTGTCCCTGAGGGTCAGCTTTCAGGCAACAGAGGTTTGTGGGGAGGGCAGCCCAGTCTACACCCTCAGGAAAGGGAGGACGGGCAAGCCAGTGGAGACAGAACTCAGCAGGGATGGGAGGAAGGCTGGCTGGGAGTGTTCACGGTGGAAGGAAGCATCCACACACAACCCTAAAGGGGCAGAGGAGGAAGCCACCTCTCGGGAGGAGAAGGGAGGGGAGGAAGAACACGGTTGTTAGGGAGAGTGGGATGACAAGTGGGGAAAACGTCCTCGGGAGTCAGACTCGGGAAACAGAAAGGGTTGTTGAAGCCCAAGTCCTCTGAGGAGAGGGAGAAGGGAAGCGCATCCGCACCTGCGCAGTTGTGGGGGGGGGCACAATGTGGGGAGGTGAGAAGAGAGTGCTCGTGTCGGCAGGAAGAAAACAGAATACTGGGGAGTCTGGAGTTAAGCGAGCGGCGGGAATAAAGGGTCTGTCCCGGTGGGAGGGGGAGAAAGAGAACTGAGTCCCTGCCTCAAGGGAAGAGAATAGGGGGCCTGCGGTCTCTAATAACGAGAATCAGTCCGCGCCCCACGGGAAGAGGGAGAGGAGATTCGGGGTCGGCACCCCACGGGGGGAGGGGAGAGGAGATTCGGGGTCGGCACCCCACGGGGGGAGGGGAGAGGAGATTCGGGGTCGGCACCCCACGGGGGGAGGGGAGAGGAGATTCGGGGTCGGCACCCCACGGGGGGAGGGGAGAGGAGAGTCGGGGTCGGCACCCCACGGGAAGAGGGAGAGGAGATTCGGGGTCGGCACCCCACGGGGGGAGGGGAGAGGAGATTCGGGGTCGGCACCCCACGGGGGGAGGGGAGAGGAGATTCGGGGGGAGGGGAGAAGGGAAAAAGGGCCCGCGTCCCATGAACATGGGGGCGTAGGGGTCTGCGCCGCACCAGGAGAGGAGAGCAGGGGGCTCGAGCCCCGCGGGGAGAGGACACCAGGCCAGCGCGCCAACAGGACCCTGCCCGGAGCAGCGCTGCCGCGTACCCTCGCACAGGAAGAGCGTCCACGCAGCCGCATCCCAGCCCCAGCCGCTAGAGTCCTTGACGCCACCCTCACAAGGCCTTGGCTCCACGACCGGCGGCCGGGAGTGCGGAAAGCCGAGACCCGAGAGGCCAGGAGAGGGCGGAACTCACCTCCCGCCGCCGCGGCGTCTACGTCAGCTCGCCCTCGGGTCCTGCGCATGCGCGCGCGGAGTTCCCGGATGCGAGTTCGCCGGCGACCCCAGACGGCGGGGACTAGCCGGGGTGCGGCGGGGTCGCAGCTGCCAGGCAGCCGGAACCTGGGAGCGCGCGGTGTTTCCTTTCCCGGGCCTTAGTCCTTCGCCTCCGCTGGTAGGTGAGGTTTAACAGACGGAAAAACGCCGGGAGCGCTCGTGGGCTGGCCTTGAGCCGCCGCGGACAAGCTCCTGGTCCCTCAGATTGACCAGCCCTACGTCCCCTTGCGATCCTGCACCACCCTGGACGCGCGTGGTTTCGGCAGAATCTCATTCACGCGGGTTCCACTCCTAGACCGCTGTGTCTCCTTCCTCTCACGGCATCGGGGACTGGGGCCTGCAGTCACTCCTGTACCGGGGTGTGCAACGCTCCAGTGGACGCTGGCGGACACCTTCATGCGGTCGAATAACCTTACATGCACAGTTCACATTTTACTCGGTGTGATGCTCCGTCCAGAATAACCCATTTGCACGATTCTGTAAGACTCCCTGGCACAGTAACCCCTCCACGTGGTCATGTAAGACTCCATAGCACAATAAGCCCTTCATGCCATTGGGTAAGGTTCCATGCCACAGTAACAAACCACTTTCCAAGGTTGTGTAATACCCTGTGGCACAACCCTTTCACATGGCTGCGTAATCATCCATTGTACGATGACCACTTCACTCTGTGTAATCCTCTAGGGCACAATAATCATTTTATGTGGTCATATAAAATGCACCACTCTGAATACACCATTTGCTCGTTTTCCTTCCTGTCAAGGGACGTTTGGGCTGTTTCCAGTTGAGCGTTACTAGAAAAAAACCTGCTGTGAACATCGTGTGTATATCTTTTGATAGGCAGGCTTGTACTTCTGTTGGCTGAATGCCTAGGACTGCAACTGCCTCTTCCTGGGTGCACATGTACAGGTTAGGAGATATCACCAGTTTACACTGCCCCCTGCAGTGTTGTATAAGATACTCAGTTGCTCCACATTCTTGCAACACTTGGTACTGTTGCTTTCATTTTAGCCATTGGCATGGTGTGAAGTAGAATCTCACTGTGGTTTATTAGTAGTAAAGTTGGGCACACTTTCATGCCCTTATTGGCCATTTGGATTTCCTTGTTTATGAGGGGGCCGGTTGAAGTCATTTACCAACTTTTCTATTAAGTTTCTTTGTTATTGAGACGCTGAGTTCTTTGTATATTTGGACGCCAGTCCTTTGTTGGCTCTACAGTGGTCTTCTCCCACTCTGTCACTTGCCTTTTTACTTGCATAATACTGCTTTCTGATGAACCTATTTTTTTCTTTTCTTCAGACAGAGTTTCACTCATTGCCCAGGCTGGAGTAAAATGGCGCGATCTCGGCTCACTGCAACCTCTGATTCCCAGGTTCAAGCGATTCTCCTGCCTCAGCCTCCCAAGTACCTGGGATTACAGGCACTTGCCACCACGTCTAGCTAATTTTTATATTTTTAGTAGATATGGGTTTTCACCATGTTGGCCAAGATGGTCTTGATCTCCTAACCTCATGATACGACCGCCTTGGCCTTCCAAAGTGCTGGGATTACAGGCATGAACCACCATACCTAGACATTTTTTTTTTTTTTGGAAATGGAGTCTCACTCTGCTGCCCAGGCTGTAGTGCAGTGGTGTAATCTTGGCTCACTAGAACCTCTACCTCCTGGATTCAAGCAATTCTCCTGGCTCAGACTCCTAAGCAGTTGGGATTACAGGTGTGTGCCATCATGCCTGGCTATGGGTTTTGCCATGTTGGCCAGGCTGGTCTTGAACCCCTGATCTCAAATGATCCACCCATCTTGGCCTCCCAAAGTGCTGGGATTACAGCTGTGAGCCACTGTGTCCACGCCCCTTTCAGTTTTAAAGCCAGGAACAGGGAGTAGAATCCTTCTCACATTTCAGCTTTCTACTCATTCCTTCCTCAGCATCTGACTCCAGCCTATAACCTCTGCTTTTAAGGGCATGTGTGCCAGATTGGGCCCATCCAGATAATCCAGGATACTGTCTTCTCTATCCCATGTCCCACTCATCTTAGCCACACTTGCAATGGCCCAGGCTACCCCAGAATCCATATGGAACTTACCTAGTCCACATCTCATATCCTCTTTGGTCAGGAGTTTCCATCCTCTGTGATGAAATTACAGTAGCCTCTCCTGATTAGCAGTTTCACTTCTCCACCTTTGTTGCCCAAGGTCAACTGTGGTCTGAAAATATTAAATGGAAAATCCAGAAATAAACAGTTCACAAGTTTCACATTGCACACTGTCGTGAGTAGCATGATGAAATCCCATGCTGTATCGCACAATCCCATCCAGAATGGGAACCAGGCATTTGTCCAGTGTTTCCACGCTGTATATACACCCGTCATTAGTTGCTTTTAGGAGTTACCAAGGTAACTCCTTAGTTATTAATCAACCATCGTGGTATCTCAGTACTTGTGTTCAAGTAACCCGTATTTTAAAAATTATTTTATACATTAAAACTTATCATAGGTAAGTATAAGAAAACACATGGCCGGGTGTGGTGGCTCGCGCCTATAATCCCAGCACTTTGGGAGGCCGAGGCGGGTGGATCACAAGGTCAAGAGATGAGACCATCCTGGTCAACAAGGTGAAACTCCGTCTCTACTAAAAATACAAAAATTAGCTAAGCATGGTGGTGCGCGCCTGTAGTCCCAGCTACTCAGGAGGCTGAGGCAGGAGAATTGCTTGAACCCAGAAGGCGGAGGTTGTGGTGAGCCGAGATTGTGCCATTGCACTCCAGCCTGGGTAACAACAATGAAACTCCATTTCAAAAAAAAAACATAGTATATAGTAGCCTTTCACACGCATGGGTTCCACATTTGTAGATTCAACCAACTTTGGATTGAAAGTATTCGAAAGAACATTGCATCTGTACTGAGCGTGTACCGACATTTTTCCTCTTTATCTCCTAAACAATACAGTATAAAATTTACAAAGTATTTACACTGTATTAGGTAACATAAGTAATCTGGACATTACCTTTTTTTTTCGGGGATGGAGTCTCACTCTGTCTCCCAGGCTGGAGTGCAGTGGCATGATCTCAGCTCACTGCACCCTCTGCCTCCCAGGTTCAAGTGATTCTCCTGCCTCAGCTTCCCTAGTAGCTGGGATTACAGGCACATGCTACCACACTGGCTAATTTTTGTATTTTTAGTAGAGACAGGGTTTTGCCATGTTGGCCAGGCTAGTATCGAATTCCTGACCTCAGGTGATCTGTCTGCCTCGGCCTCCCAAAGTGCTCGGATTATAGGCATGAGCCACTGCATCTGGCCTAGACATTACTTAAAGTACACTGGAAGATGTGTAGGTTATATGCAAATGCACACCATCTTATATCAGGGACTTGAGCATCTTCCGATATGGTGTCTGAGGGCAGTCTTGGAATCAATCCTCCACAGATACGGAGGGACAACTGTATATAGCAATTAGTACCATATGAGGTTTCAGGCATCCACCATGGTACTGGAATGTATCCCTCTTGGATTTGGTGGGGGGACTACTAGATGTAATGTACATACTATATGTACATTATGTTTCGTTTCATTTCATTTTGTAGAGATAGGGTCTCTGTCTGTTGCCCAGGCTAGTCTCAAACTCCTGGACTCAAGGGATCCTCCCAGCTAAGCCTCCCAAAGTGCTGGGATTACAAGTGTGAGCCATCGTGCCCAGCCTAATAAATTTTTTTTCAAAAAAGAGCAAAGGGAATACAATTCACACAAAAGCATGGGGGTCATACCAATATCACATTGACACCACTTCTTCAGGATGCTTACCCTCTGGCCACAACTGGTCTGGGGATGAGCCCATCCCAGAATCTGAAAGTTGAAACCAAGAGGCGGAGATGCTGCTGACGCTAACTCTGCAACACCTGCATCTTTTGCTAGAACGCTACAGACACCAAAGTGAAGTGCCCAGCCGGGGCATTCCTAAGAGTCCACTAGGGACTTATGTCTTATGATACACCCATTTCTACAGAGACACAACTCTGTAACTTACAACCGTACATATCCTGGGAATGTGAGACTTTTCCCCCTCAATAATGCGGTTCCTTCCTTTGAAAGTATGAACAAGAAATGTATACACCTCAGCCTTAGCACAGTTCACACCTGGGCTGGATAACTCTGCCGTGGGGGCCATCGTGAGCCTTGGAGGATGTTTAGCAGCAGCCCAGCTTCCACCTGCCAGACACCACCCTTCATCATGAAACCCAGATGTCTCCTGGAGGTAGAACTGTTCCTGAATGAGAACCACTGCTCACATGAATAGATCCACATGTTCAAGTGTGCCCAGACCATGGAATATTACACAGCATTGAGGAGAAACCATGGCCGCCTACAGCAACAAGGGAGTCTAACATACACAGTGTTGTGTAGCAGGCAGGCATCTACTTCCGTTCACACAAACACGTGGTGAGGCAGGCCTCATTACAGAAGTCACTACAAGAGGGGCTTGGGAGGCCAGACTCAATTCCAGCTTGGACAAGAACAAGTGAAGGTTTACAGCTGAGAAGCAGCAGAGTGTCTGGTGCATGAAAAATTACTAAGTGCAAACCTCACAGATAAGGGGTGAATTCTTGCCAAACCAACTCAAGAGGAGTTTTGCTGAAGGCCGGCCAAGGGGAGAAGACATTGAGGGTGGGGGACAAGGAATTTGATCAGGTATCAAGAGGAAGGGGAAGATTTTTGCCAAACTGACTTAGTAGGATTATGTATTAGTCCATTCTCACACTGCTATAAAGGACTACCTGAGACTGTGTTATTTGTGAAGAAAAGAGGTTTCATTGACTCAGTTCCACAGGCTGTAGAGGAAACATGGCTGGGAAGACTCAAGAAACTTACAATCATGACAGAGGGTGGAGAAGCAAGCAGGTCTTACTATGGCAGATCAAGTGGAGCCTTTTAAACAACGAGATCTCATGAGAACTCACTGTCATGAGATCAGTAAAAGGGGAAACCTGCCCTCATGATCCAATCACCTGCCACCAGGTTTGTCCCCCAGCACTGGGAATTACAATTTGACCTGAGATTGGGGCAGAAGCACAGAGCTAAACCATATCATTCTGCCACTGTCCCACCCCCAAATCTCATGTTCTTCTCATATTGCAAAATGCAATAATGCCTTCCCAACAGTCCGCCAAAATCTTAACTCATTCCAGCATTAACTAAAAATTCTATGTATGTCCAAAGACCCTTCTGAGACAAGGCAACTCCCTTGCACCTATGAGCCTGTAAAATCAAAAGAAAGTTATTTCCAAGGTACAATGGGGGGTACAGGCATTGGGTAAATTCCTCCATTCCAAAAGAGAGAAATTGGTCAAAACGAAGGGGCTACAGGTCCCCTGCAAGTCCAAATACCAGCAAGGCAGTCATTAAATCTTAAAGCTCCAGCCGGGTGCAGTGGCTCACGCCTGTAATCCCAGCACTTTGGGAGGCCGAGGCGGGTGGATCACGAGGTCAAGAGATCGAGACCATCCTGGTCAACATGGTGAAACCCCGTCTCTACTAAAAGTACAAAAAATTAGCTGGGCACGGTGGCGCGTGCCTGTAGTCCCAGCTACTCGGGAGGCTGAGGCAGGAGAATTGCCTGAACCCAGGAGGCGGAGGTTGCGGTAAGCCGAGATCACGCCACTGCACTCCAGCCTCGGTAACAAAAGCAAAACTCTGTCTCAAAAAAAAAAAAAAAAAATCTTTAAGCTTCAAAATAATCTTCTTTGACTCCATGTCTCATATCCAGGTCACACTGATGCAAGGGGTGGGCTCCCAAGGCGCTGGGCACTCTGCTCCTGTGACAATGCAGGATACAACCTTTGCTGCTTTCACAGGTTGGCATTGAGTGTTGGTGGCTTTTCCAGGCACATGGTGCAAGCTGTTTGGGGACTTACCATTCTGGGGTCTGGAGGGTAATGACCCTCTTCTCACAGCTCCACTAGGCAGTGCCTCAGTGGGGACTCTGTGTGGGGGCTCCAACCCCACATTTCCCCTCCACACTGCCTTAGTAGAGGTTCTTGACGAGGACTCAACCCATGCAGCAGACTTCTGCCTGGATGTCCATGTATCTCTGATATACATCCTCTGAAATATAGGTGGAAGGTCCCAAACTTCAACACTTGCCTTCTGTGCACCCAGAGGTCCGACACCACGGGGAAGCTGCTAAGGCTTGGGATTTGCACCCTCTGAAGCAATGGACAGAGCTGTACCTTGGCACTGTTTAGCCACAGCAAGAGCTGAAGCAGCTGGGATGGGATTCAGGGTGCCAAGTTTTGAGGGTGCATAGAGCAGTGGGGCCCTGGGCTTGGCTCATAAAACCATTTTGGTCTTTGAGACCTCTAGGCTTATGATAGGAGGACCTGCTGTAAAGATCTCTGAAATGCCCTGCAGGCATTTTCCTCATTGTCTTGGCTATTAACATTCAGCCCCCCCTTTTTTTTTGAGAGTCTTGCTGGAGTGCAGTGGCAAGATCTAGGCTCACTGCAACCTCCGCCTCCTGGGTTCAAGCAATTCTCCTGCCTCCGCTTCCCAAGTAGGTGGGACTACAGGGACACACTACCACACTCATCTAAGTTTTATATTTTTTTTTAGTAGAGATGGGGTTTCACCATGTTGGCCAGGATGGTCTCGATCTCTTGACCTTGCGATCTGCCCACCTCGGCCTCCCAAAGTGCTTGGATTACAGGCGTGAGCCACCGCGCCCGGCCTCAGCTCTTCTTTAATGTACATTTCAGCAGCCTAGAATTCCTGCCAGAAAATGGGCAGCAAATTTTCAAAACTTTCATGCTATGCTTTCATTTTAAATATAAGCTACAGTTTTAGGTTATTTCTCTATGCAATGAGTGCAGACTCTAAGAAGCAGCCAGGTGACCTCTCCAGTGCTTTGCCGCTTAGAAATTTGTTCTGCCAGACACTATAATTTCTCTCAAGCTAAAGTTCTGCCTCTCACAGACCTCTAGAGCAGGAGCATAATGCCACAAGTCTTTTTGCTAAAGCACAGTGAGAGTGACCTTTATTCCAGTTACCAATAAGTTCCTCATCTCCACCTGAGACCACCGCAGCCCAGACTTCACTGTCCACATCATTAATTGGTGTTTTGGTCACAACCATTAAACAGGTCTCTAGGAAAATAAAATAAATAAATAATAAATAAAATAAAAAGTCTCTAGGAAGTTCCACACTTTCTCTCAACTTTCGGTCTTCTTCTGATCCCTTCAGACTGTTCCAACCTCTGCCCATTACCCAGTTCCAACGTAGCTTCAGGTATGTTTCCAGCAGTGCTCCACTCCTGTTACCAATTTTCTGTGTTAGTCCATTCTCACACTGCTGTGAGGAACTACCTAAGACGAGGCAATTTATGAAGAAAAGAGGTTTAATTGACTTACGGTTCCACAGGCTGCATGTGAAGCATGGCAGGGAGGCCTCATGAAACATCTTACCATGGCAGAGCAGGAGACAGCATGAATGAAGAAGGAAGTGCTACACACTTTTAAAACAAGCAGGTTTTTTTTTTTGAGATGCAGTTTCGCTCTTGTTGCCCAGGCTCGAGTGCAATGAGGCATTCTCGGCTCACCGCAACCTCTGCCTCCTGGGTTCAAACGATTCTCCTGTCTCAGCCTCCCAATTAGCTGGGATTACAGGCACGCGCCACCATGCCTGGCTAATTCTTTTTGTATTTAGTAGAGACAGGGTTTCACCATGTTGGCCAGGATGGTCTCGATCTTTTGACCTCGTGAGCCACCTGCCTCAGCCTCCCAAAGTGCTGGGATTACAGGCGTGAGCCACCGTGCCTGGCAAACAAGGAGGTCTTTATGAGAACTCATGAGAACAGCAAGGAGGAAATCTGCCCCCATTGATCCATTTACCTCCCACCAGGTCCCTCTCCTAACATTGGGAATTGCAATTCCACGAGATTTGGGTGGGGACACAGAGCCAAACCATTATGAGATTCTTTTTTTGAGACAGGGTCTTACTCCATTACCCAGCCTGCAGTGCAGTGGTGTGGTCACAGCTCACTATAGTCTCAAACTCCTAGGCTTAAGAGATCCTTCTGCCTTGTTCCTGACTCTCCTCCTGAGAAGCTGGAACTAAAGGCTCATGCCACCACACCTAGCTAATTTTTTCATTATTATTCGAAGAGATGGGTTGCCCAGACTGGTCTTGAACTCTTAGGCCCAAGCAATCCTCCTGCCTCAGCCTTCCAAAGTGGTGAAATTACAAGTGTGAGCCACATTGCCCATCCAAACATCTTGCTCAAACTGGATCCTACAATGACAGAGAAAAGCCCAAGGTCAGAGGGCTCAACGGATCATGATTTTCATTGTGTCAAGCAAAGTCTGTGGTACACTTTTCTGTACTGGGTTATACTCAAACACAACCCTCTGGAGAACACAAGTCAGCCTGGTCCCCTTTCGTCCATCACCTCACCCTGGGACACAGCACAACACCATCCTGACTTCAGGTTCAACAAGGGTCCCTGCTTGTCCTCCACGCCCATGCACCTCTCACCATGAGATCATCATCTCCAAATGGGTGTGTGTGGCGGGGGCTTTGTCTAAATGCTTTCAGGGCCACTCTTCCCTTCTCCCCTCCCTGCCTCCATTACCTACCTACTCATTCCTCTCTCAGGACTGGCTGCCCTGTGAGAGGCAACAGGGTGGGCCCTGTGACATAGCTAACAGAGGCCCACCCCAACTGGCTGCCTCACAGGAGAGAGCAAGTGCCATGGAGGCCACAGCTGATACCAGACACAAGAAAAGACACACATGGAAGGAGGGATGGCTGCCTGAAGCCCCTCACCAGCTGGGCTGAGAATCCAGACCTTAGAAAACCAGTACCATGGAGACACCAGGTCACACACTCATCACTCTTGATCCTGCCAATAAAATGGGCCTGGCTCACTCCGGTCCTGGATTGACTCATCACTAATCTTCACTATCAGGGCATCTGTCCATACTCCCAGGAGAGGAATTTATCTAGAGGCAAAATCCCAAGGGGATCCACTCGCAGGCCTTCAAGGATGTGTCATCCACCTTCACTGGTTCCACTGGGACAGTACTCCACTGCCTCGGAAGGGCCACTCCAAAGTCATCCCAAATTTTTCTGTGGCTTCCTGTTCCCCATTCTCTGGGACCCACTCTGTCCTCCACACTGACACCCCGTTATAACCCAAGTCCCAGAGAAGGAAGTTATTCTCATGCCCTGGGCTTTGGGATGCTGTTTCCAGAGAAGCCACTGTTGTGAACAGGATGTAAGCCACACTTACATCCACAGAGAAAGTGTGGAACTTCCCAGTGCCCCTCCATCCACACTTACAGCTTCCCTGGTGCCTGCTTCAGTCCCTAAGACTAAAGGAGGTCCAGAGAAACCCCATATTAACCTCTTTATGGCTTCACTTTTCAATTCATTACCAAATCATCATGCTAACAAGTATTTGTAAAAGAGAAAAAATACCATACAAAATTCCGGTCCCCGAAGAAAACCACATTTTATTTTTCCATCATGCCCTTTCAGTCTACATCCATGTGTGCATATATCTTGTATATGGCTGTAATAATAGTAAATCTTCTATTCTATGCCCCTTTTTGCCATATTATAAACATTTTCAACATGGCAATAAAACCTTTACAATGGTTCACAGTGGCTGAATTGGAAGCATCTTAAATGAACCACCACGGTGGTAGTGGTGGGGTGATAACATAACAACTCAGTATTTTTGTTTCAACAACTGAAGCAACAAACTACATCTCTTGGAAGCAGCCCTTTCCATCTTCGCACAAGCTTGTTTCAGTCTTTTGTTTTTTTTTTTTCTTTTTGGATGGAGTTTCAGTCTATCTATCGCCCAGGCTGGAGTGCAGTGGCGGGATCTCGGCTCACTGCAACCTCCACCTCCCAGGTTCAAGCAATTCTCCCGCTCAGCCTCCTGAGTAGCTGGGATTACAGGCACATGCCACCATGTCTGGCAAATTTTTTGTATTTTTTGTAGAGATGGGGTTTCACCACTTTGGCAAGGCTGGTCTTGAACTCCTGACCTCATGATCCAGCTGCCTCAGCCTCCCAAAATGCTGGGATACAGTCATGAGCCACCAAACCCGGCCTGCTTGTTTCAGTCACAGGAGGAACGACTTCACTGTTCATTCACAGGTAATTTATTCATCTAGATACCCTCCTGCAACAAGTTCTCAGCATTCTTGTGGAGTATAACGCAGAAATATATTGAAACAGCAAAACTTGAAACATTCTGTGGTGGTGTGCAGTGCAGCACTGTGTGGACTCTAATTGTACACCATTGTTGATACAGAGAACACTGTAAGAGACACTGCCAAAAGCCTCTCTTCCTGATTACATTTAAAAAGCTTGACTCAGTTGCTTGAATCTGGGAGGTGGAGGCTTCAGTGAGCCAAGATCACACCATCACACTCCACCCTGGCAACAGAGCAAGACTCCATTTCAAAAAAAAAAAAAAAACAAACAAACAGTTGAATTAGGCCAGGCGCGGTGGCTCACACCTGTAATCCCAGCACTTTGGGAGGCCAAGGCAGGCAGATCATAAGGTCAGGAGTTCAAGACCAGCCTGGTCAACATAGTGAAACTCCATCTCTACTAAAAATACAAAAACTTAGCTGGGCGTGGTGGCACATACCTGTAATCTTAGCTACTCAGGAGGCTGAGACAGGAGAACTGCTTGAAACCGGGAGGGGAGGTTGCAGTGAGTGGAGATTGCCCCACTACACTACAGCCTGGGCAACAGCTCAAGACTCCATCTCAAAAAAAAAAAAAATTGATTCGTTGAGAGTCTGCTTATGTACCATAAGGTGGAAACTCCCTACTATGGGGCTCCTCATATCAATCACATTCTGAGTGCATTCACAGGCTCTCTCTAGCTAAGCATTTTGATGTGGAGGTGAGTGAATATCCCAGGTTAGTGTCACGTTCATGGTTTGCACGTTTCATTCCGGTGTATGTGTTGTCATCTCTGGTACAATAACTATTCTGCATTTACTATCATCCTAAGTTGTCTCCCAAGTTCCCCAGTGAGCAGACTTAACACTGTGGCTCAGCAATGTCTCACATTCATCAATTCACTGAATAGCTTAAAGGATTCTTTTCTACTGACCAGAGAGGAGTCAGATCTAAGACACGCCTCCTAAACACAGGTGTGAGAACAAACTAGAAGAATCATGTGGCCCCCAATCATTATGTTTCCATGGGTTGCTCTCCCAGGTGTGCTCGTTGATGTCGGACAAGGGAGGAGCTCTTTTGGAACGTTTTTCCACACTGAGGACACTGGCTGGGACCCTCTCTGCTATGCAGTCTCTGATGTACTGCCAGGTGAGAGTTCTGCTTGAAGGACTTCCCACATTCTGGACACTGATACGGGGTCTCCTTAGTGTGAATTCTCTGGTGCTTGGTCAGACAGGAGCTGTCCCTGAAGGCTTTGCCACATTGATTACACTCATAAGGCTTCTCACCAGTATGAGTCCTCTGGTGCCTGATGAGGCCAGCAATGTTCCTGAAAAGTTTCTGACACTGGTTGCAGCCATAGGGCTTCTCGCCAGTATGAATCCTCTGGTGCCTGATCAGGTACGCACTCTCAATGAAAGTCTTCCCACATTCTTTGCATTCATAGGGCTTCTCCCCAGAATGGATCTTTTGATGCACAATGAGATGAGAGTTTCTGTTGAAGGATTTCCCACACTCTGCACACTCAAAGGGCTTTTCTCCAGTGTGAGTCCTTTCATGCTGGGTGAGGTACGAGCCGTCCCGGAAAGCCTTTCCACATTTGCTACACTCGTAGGGCTTCTCACCGGTGTGGATTCGGAGATGCACTGTTAGGTGGGAGATGTCAGTGAAGGGTTTCCCACACTCGTTACATCTATACGGTTTTTCCCCTGTATGAGTTCTTTGGTGCAAAATTAGGGATGAATTTCGGTTGAAGGTTTTTCCACATTCTAGGCATTCATAAGGTTTCTCACCTGTGTGAATTCTCTGGTGCTGTGTCAGAGCTGACCCATCACTGAAAGCTTTCCCACATTTACTGCATTTATAGGGCTTTTCTCCTGTGTGGATCCTTTGATGTACAATCAGGTTGTAGTTCTTGGAGAAGGACTTTCCACACTCATTGCAAGTGTAAGGCTTCTCTCCGGTATGAGTTCGGTGATGCAAAACAAGAGAAGAGTTCCGTTTGAAGCATTTGCCACATTCAGTACATTTATATTGTTTCTCTCCAGGGAGATTCCTCTGGTTTTCATTATGTGATGAGCTCAGGGTAAAGATGTCCTCAAAATCCTTACCTTCATAGAGTTTCTTGCCTCTTTTCATTATTTTTTGATGACTAAGAGCGGTAAAATGACTAAAAGACTTAACTCTTTCAGGGTATTTGTAGGGTTTCTCTCTCACTGGATTTCTTCCATGAATAACTTCCATGGAATGGTTGAAGGCTTTTCCACAGGCATCGCTGTTGCCAGTTCTCTTAGCTGCATAACTTTTGGGACAGCTGTGTAAGGCAGAGTCACAATCCAGACCACTAACATTTGAGTCATGTGCATGGAAACCATTTGTTGCAAGAACTCTCTGAGATGGTGGAAGGTCTGAGCTTGCAATCAAATGTTCCGCAAAACTAGGATATTCACAAATTGCTTCCTGAGGCCCTGATTTCTGCAGAGTTAAAGCCGATTGCCTCAAGTGTCCCTCCTGGTTCTCACAGTCCCAACCACCACTTAAAATGGACAAACAGGGAGCTTCCTTTGTGAATCCTTCCATTTCTATACCACAGGGTATTTCTCTTTCAGAAATATTCCAAGTTGTCATTTTCAATCTCATATCCCAAACTGCAAAGAGAGGAAAAACGCAGACTTAGGTAAATAAAGTTAAATCAATAAGAGAAACAGACAATGATGATGGGCTAGGTGTGAAGATGTGTATTTTTTTACTTGCTTTCTTTTTTAAATTCAAATTTACATAAGGAAGAGGAAAAATGACAGCCAAGAAATAGAACCAAAAACAGATTTTAAAAGACCCATGTAATGGCCGATCGCTAACATCCCGGGATTGCAGCTCTCAGGGAAGGCGCGGAGAACTAGAGGACGCCACACTTTCAGACAAAGTCTGGTCACTCACGGAGCAGAAGATCCCCCAGTGGAGGAAACACACGGGTCGCCAGCGCGACTCTCGTGGTCGGCGCAGCGGTTCCGCCGGCACCTCGGCGCGGCAGCTCTCGGAGCAGAGTAAACGGGACTGCTTCCCCTTCTGACCGAGGTTTGGAGCCCCGGGAAGGCAGAGTCGCCTACTACGGACACAAGAAGGAAGCCCGACAGGAGAATCCTGGGCGGAAAAGCACCATCAGTTTTAACGCCGCTGCTCTGGCCCTGGGAACTAACAACCTGGACGTCCACTCAAGAGACCTAATCTGAAAGTTGGTAATTTCAAAGAGACAGGAGGATAAATTTACAATGACGGGAAGAAACCAGCGTAAAAAAGCTGAGAATACTCAAAGTCAGAATGCCTCTCCCTCTAAAGATGATCACAGTTCCACATCAACAAAGGAACAAGGCTTGATGGAGAACGAGCGCCTCCTGATGACAGAATCACTCTTCAAGGAATGGATAATAACAAACTTCGGTGAGTTAAAAGACCATGTTGTAGCCCAATGTAAAGAAACTAGGAACTTTGACAAAAGGCTTGATGAAATCCTATTGAGAATAGACAACTTAGAGAGGAGTATGAGTGAATTAATGGAACTGAAGAATACAATACAGGAACTCTGAGAAGTATGCACAGGTTTAAACACTCGAATTGTTCAAGCAGAAGAAGGGATATCAGAGGTCAAAGTCCAACTTAATGAAATAAAACGTGAAGAAAAGATTAGAGAAAAAAGGATAAAAAGGAATGAGCAAAGTCTCCAAGAAATGTGGGACTATGTGAAAAGACCAAATTTACGTTTGATAGGTGTACCTGAATGCAACGGAGAGAATGAATCCAAGCTGGAAAATACCCTTCAGGATATTATTCAGGAAAATTTTCCTAAACTAGCAAAGCAGGTCAACATTCAACCCCAGGTAATACAGAGAACACCACAAAGATATTCCTCAAGAAGACCAACCCCAAGGCATATAATCGTTAGATTCACCAGGGTTGAAACGAAGGAGAGGATACTAAGGGCAGCCAGAGAGAAAGGTCGGATAACCCACAAAGGCAAGCCTATCAGACTTACAGCAGATCTCTCGGCAGAAACTCTACAGGCCAGAAGAGAGTGGGGGCCAATATTCAACATCCTCAAAGAACAGAACCTTCAGCCCAGAATTTCATATCCAGCCAAACTAAGCTTCACAACTGAAGGAAAAATAAAATCTTTTATGAACAAGCAAGAACTCAGAGATTTTATTACCACCAGGCCTGGTTTACAAGAGCTTCTGAAAGAAGCATTACACACAGAAAGAAACAACCAGTATTAGCCTTTCTAAAAATATACCAAAAAGTAAAGAGCACCAACATAAAGAAGAATTTACACCAACAAATGGATAAAACAGCCAGTCAACATCAAATGGCAGTAACCCTAAATTTAAATTGACTGAATTCCCAATCAAAAGACACAGCCAAAACCCAACGGCATGTTACATCCAGACCTGTTTCACATGCAAGGATACACAAAGACTCAAAACAAAGGGATGGAGAAAGATTTACCAACCAAATGGAGAGCAAAAATAAATAATAAATAAATAAAAAGCAGGAGTTGCAATTCTCGTATCGGATAAAATAGATTTTAAAGCAACAAAGATATAGTGGTAAAAGGATCAATGCAATAATAAGAGCTAACGATCCTAACACCCAGATAGGAGACTTAGATTCAATGAGACAGAAAATTAATAAGGATATCAAGGACTCGAACTCAGATCCAGAACAAGTAAACTTAATAAATATTTATAGAGCTCTCCACTTCAAATACACAAAATATACATTCTTGTCAATACCACATCACACCTACCCATTAGTTTAAATGAAACATTGATTGGCCATTATTAATACCCAATTTTTTTCAAAATAAAGCAATATTTCCATTTACTCTCCCTCTTTCTCTTCCTCTTTCTTCCTCTCCTTTACTTATTTTTTTTTCTTTCCTTCTCTCAAAAAAAAAGAAATCAACTTGTAAACCTCTAGATCCAGGTCGGCAATGTCTCTTTCATTGCTTGATTTCCTTTCTTCCCTTCCCTCCCTCCCTCCCTCCCTCCCCGCTTCCTCCCTTCCTTCCTTCCTTCATCCCTTCCTTCCTCCCTACCGTCCTTCTTCCCTTCCTTCCTGCCTTCCTCCCCCCCCAATAAAAAAAAAAAAAAAAAAAAAGACCCATGTAGCATTTTCATTTTCCTAGACAGCAGGCAGAAGGAATGGTCCCGGGGATAAATAATCACCAAAAGGATTAGTTTGAGATGTGCAAGACCAGAGCGCAAGCATCCCCGCTCACCCTAGAATTATGTCACAGACACTGCCTTGTTGTCCCCATCACGCACTGCCCATCAGTACACATTTCCACAGCTTTGACTTTACAATGAGCTGATAACAGCACGGAAGGAGCAATTCTTACCCAGCTCTGTGGTCAAAGTTCTGCACTCATGGACAGGACAAAGCATAGGCCTGGTGACCTAAAAGTTCTGGATCTAAGTCTTAGAACAGGCAATAACCTTGCTGGGTGCAGTGGCTCACGCCTGTAATCCCAGCACTTTGGGAGGCTGAGGCACGTGGATCATTTGAGGTCAGGAGTTTGAGACCAGCTTGACCAACACAGTGAAACCACGTCTCTACTAAAAATACAAAAAAATTAGTTGGGCGTAGTGGCACATGCCTGTAGTCCCAGATACTCAGAAGGCTAAGGCAGGAGAATTCCTTGTACCCGGTAAGTGGAGGTTGTAGTGAGCCGAGATCACACTACTGCACTCCACCGTGGGAGACAGTGAGACTCCATCTCAAAAAAAAACAAAACCAAAGCAAACAAAACAAAAACTGTATGACTGCCCTGCAGGGTTTTTATGAAAACTGGATCATGTCTGAGGCAGTCTCCAAGGCTAGGGAATGAAGGGCATTCTGTAAATGCTGAATGTGTCTTCGTCCATATCAATCTTCCCATCACCATCCTTGTCCACTCACAATATTAAGACAACTAGTTGTCCATTCATTCATTCTTCATTCCTTCAGTGAGACAGGATCTTGCTCTGTCATCCAGGCTAAAGTGCAGTGGTGTGACCTTGGCTCACTGAAGCCTCAACCTCACAAACTCGAGCAATTATTCCACCTCAGCCTCCCAAAATGCTGCAAATACAGGCATGAGCCATTGTGCCGAGCCGCCTTGTTTTTTTTTTTTTGGAGACGGAGTCTCGCACTGTCGCCCAGGCTGTAGTGCAGTGGTGTGATCTCAGCTCACTGCAATCTCCATTTCCTGGGTTCAAGCAATTCTCCTGCCTCCGCCTCTTGAGTAGCTGGAACTACAGGTGTGCACCACCATGCCCAGCTAATTTTTTTGTATTTTTGAAGAGATGGGGTTTCATCATGTTGGCTAGGATGGTTCTGATCTTCTGACCTCGTGATCTGCCCGCCTCGGCCTCCCAAAGTGATGAGATTACAGGCGTGAGCCACTGTATGCGGCCTAGTATTATTATTTTTTTTGAGACAGAGTTTCACTCTGGTTACCCAGGCTGGAGTGCAATGGCGCGATCTCGGCTCACCGCAACCTCCGCCTCCTGGGTTCAGGCAATTCTCCTGCCTCAGCCTCCTGAGTAGCTGGGACTACAGGCACGCGCCACCATGCCCAGCTAATTTTTTGTATTTTTAGTAGAGATGGGGTTTCACCACGTTGACCAGGATGGTCTTGATCTCTTGATCCACCCGCCTCGGCCTCCCAGTATTTTTTAAAGTAAAATGAAAATAGACCCTTGCCTCAGAATACGTACATACGTATATGTGTATAGTCTAGGCAATTTAAATATATATCCATGTATATATGTGTATTCAAATTTTGGATGGATACAGGCCACAACAAAAGGTCAAAGTGTAAACTATGTGGTATGCCTTCATGGGTATGGCAGACTTTGATAAACAAAGCTTACCCAAAAAACCATACCGTGAAGCACTGCAGGGGGGTCACGCCTGCAATCCCAGCACTCTGGGAGACTGAGACTGCAGGGAGCTGTAATTGTGCCAACTGCAAAAGAGATCGTGTCTGCAAAACAAAAAATAAAAAACACACAAGGATTAACAAGTCTGATATCGACATTCAAATTTTCTATCCAATAAAAGACACAATAAGGGACAAAAGCAAGTGGCAAATGGAGAGAAAATAAGGCATGAAAGAGACAAAGGATTACTGGCCAAGAGCTACAGAGGATTCTTACAGAACAGCACAAGAGAGAAAGAGAAAAATGAGCAGAGTAATCAAAGGTGCGTCTCATGAAGGGAAAACGGAAATGTCCTGAAAACATCAAGATTTTTCTCATTCTATCACTCAGGCAATTCCCACTGTGACTGTAAGAACACAAAACATGCACATTTCATATGAGTACAAATAAAATGAAGTAAGATAATATAAAGCTTTGGGACGTCATGTGGTAAGAGGGCTTGTAAAGTGGTCAGTGTGCTTGGCAGGGTGACCTAGTGGCAGCCGTGAAAACATAAATTCAGGCTTGGGCGCAGTGGCTGACGCCTGTAATCCCAGCATTGTGGAAGGCTGAGGCAAATGGATCACCTGAGTTCAAGGGTTTGAGACCAGCCTGGACAACATGACGAAACCCCATCTCTACAAAAAATACAAATATTAGCAGGGTGTGGTGGCATGTGCCTGTTAATCTCAGCTACTTGGGAGGCTGAGGTAGGAGAATCGCTTGAGCTCTGGGGGTTGAGGATGCAGTGTGCTATGGTTCACTCCAGCCTTGATGACAGAATGAGATTCTGTCTCAAAAAGAAAAAATAAATCAGAAAAGCAAAAGCAGAGTTCATTTTCAAGGATACTAGCAGTAAGATTTAGAAAAGGTTGTTCTTCAGGAAAAAAACCAACAAGGAAAAATAGGAATTTATGACTATGATGAATGTTGGCTGGGTGTGGTGACTCACACCTATAATCCCAGTACTTTGGGAAGTCAAGGTGGGAGGATCACCTGAGCCCAGGCTTTTGAGATTAGTCTGGGCAACATAGTGAGATGCCATCTCTTAAAAAAAAAAAAAAAAAAGGGCAGGGGGAAATTGATCTAATCCAATGTTGACCATATGAAATGCAGAAATGGGCCAGGCGCGGTGGCTCACACCTGTAATCCCAGCACTTTGTGAGGTCGAGGCGGGTGGATCACGAGGTCAAGAGATCGATACCATCCTGGTCAACATGGTGAAACCCTGTTTCTACTAAAAATACAAAAAATTAGCTGGGCATGATGGTGCGTGCTTGTAATCCCAGCTACTCAGGAGGCTGAAGCAGGGAACTGCCTGAACCCAGGAGGCAGAGGTTGCGGTGAGCCGAGATCGCGCCATTGCACTCCAGCCTGGGTAACAAGAGCGAAACTCTGTCTCAAAAAAAAAAAGAAAAAGAAAAAGAAATGCAGAAATGACAACGACTTGGAATTCATGGGATGGACTCATATAGTGGACAACAGTGGCCAATGACGTGGGAATGAGGCAACAAAATCAAATGTTGTGACGTTCTCAGGTTTTTCATGATTCATGTTAGACTTGCTCAAGTCAGAAATAAAAGAATAAATGTATAAAACTTCCAAGCCCACAAAGCAGTGGTTTTTAACCAGAGATGTTTCTACTTTCAGAAAATACTTGGCAATGTCTGGAGATGACTTTGGTTGTCAGTCTGGGTAGAGGGCAGACGTTCCTAGGGGCCGGGGACGCTGCTAATAGCCTGCAGTGCACAGGATGGCTAGCCACAACACAAAAGGATCCATAGTGCTGGGAAACACTGAAAAACCTGGTAGAGACAGCTCACAATTAAACCACCAAAAACCGACCAATCCAGAAAGCTCATAAAGGGGAAAAACAGCACAAAAAGGACAGGCTAAATAGAAAGTGTAAGGTAAGGTACCACCAATTACAATAACTATAAATGATAAAGACTGTCTCAGACTGTATCAAAAAACGTGTTTGTAATAGATATCCTTAAAGCAAAAGGACATAAAAGCCAAAAGCAAAAGGATGGGACAGAATGCCAACCAAAATCGTTTGTGGCTCTTTATAAACCAAAGAAAAATTTCAAATAAGGATAAGGGCAATGTAACAGTGACAGTATGCCTCAAAACACAGAGCAAAGCCAGCCAGGTTTCTTAGAAGAAATCGGCAAATCTAACAGAGTGGGAAATTTTGATTATCTGTTTTTTGAGTTTTCCTTTCCTGATCAAACAGCTCAGATCATACTTAAATTTTTATAAAGGTTTTAATGTAATTATTGAATTTTTGTGACGGGGTATCAATATGTTGCCCAGGCTGGCCTCAAATTCCAGACCACAAGTCATCTTCCTTCTTCAGCTTCATGAGTAGCTGGGACTACAGGCATATGCCCCTGCAACCAGCCATAATGTGAGGTTTTATTTTTGTTTGTTTGTTTATTTAATTTTTGTATGTGTATGTGACAGAATCTCACTCTTGTCTCCCAGGCTGTAATGCAGTGGTGTGATCTCCGCTCATTGTAACTTCCATCTCCCGGGTTCAAGTGATTCTTCTGCCTCAGCCTCATGAGTAGCTGGGATTACAGGCACCCACCAACACACCTGGCTAATTTTTGTAATTTTAGTAGAGACGAGGTTTCATCATGTTGGCTGGGCCATTCTCAAACTCCTGAGCTCAGGTGATCTGCCCACCTCGGCCTCCCAAAGCACTGAGATTACAGGTGTGAGCCACTGCACCCAGCCAGTGGGAGTTGTTTTTTTTTTTTTTGAGACTGAATTTTCTGCTCTTGTCGCCCAGGCTGGAGTACAATGGTGCAATCTTGACTCACAGCAACCTCTGCCTTCTGGGTTCAAGCAATTCTTCTGCCTTGGTCTCCTAAGTAGCTGGGATTACTGGCACCTGCCACCGTGGCTTAATTTTTTATTTATTTTTATTTTTTTGTATTTTCAGTAGAGATGGGGTTTCAGCATGTTGGTCAGGCTAGTCTTGAGTTCCTGATCTCAGGTGATCCACCCACCTCAGCCTCTCAAAATGCTGGGATTACAGGCATGAGTCACTGTGCCAGTCAGTGGGAAGTTTTAATGAACCTCTTTTAGAAATGAAAATTCAGACTGGGCACGGTGGCTCATGCCTGTAATCCCAGTACTTTGGGAGGCTGAGGCAGGTGAATCACCTGAGATCAGGAGTTTGAGACTAGCCTGGCCAACATGGTGAAACTCTGTCTCTACTAAAAATACAAAAGTTAGCTGGGTACAGTGGCACACACCTGTAATCCCAGCTACTTGGGAGGCTGAGACAGGAGAATCTCTTGAACCAAGAAGGCGGAGGTTGCAGTGAGCCGAGATGCCGCCACTGCACTCAAGTCACACAAACATAGACACAAAAAATGAAAATTCAGAAAAACTGAAAAGAGTTATACAGGACAGAATGCAATTAGCCAACCTGATCACACAGCTGGATGAAAATCTATGGACCAATTACAATAAAATGCTTTCTAAGCACAAGTGGAACATTTGCTAACAGTGACCAGGACAAAGAAAAAGTTCAACAAAGCCCAGACCACAGCCTCTTGACAAGCTCAACAGAGCCCGGACCACAGCCTCTTGAGAAGCTCAACAGAGCCAGGACCACAGCCTCTTGACAAGCTCAACAGAGCCCGGACCACAGCCTCTTGACTAGTTCAACAGAGCCCGGACCACAGCCTCTTGACTAGTTCAACAGAGCCCAGACCGCAGCCTCTTGACTAGTTCAACAGAGCCCAGACCGCAGCCTCTTGACTAGTTCAACAGAGCCCGGACCGCAGCCTCTTGACAAGCTCAACAGAGCCCAGACCACAGCCTCTTGACTAGTTCAACAGAGCCCAGACCGCAGCCTCTTGACAAGCTCAACAGAGCCCGGACCACAGCCTCTTGACAAGCTCAACAGAGCCAGGACCGCAGCCTCTTGACTAGTTCAACAGAGCCCAGACCGCAGCCTCTTGACTAGTTCAACAGAGCCCAGACCGCAGCCTCTTGACTAGTTCAACAGAGCCCAGACCGCAGCCTCTTGACTAGTTCAACAGAGCCCGGACCGCAGCCTCTTGACTAGTTCAACAGAGCCCGGACCGCAGCCTCTTGACAAGCTCAACAGAGCCCAGACCACAGCCTCTTGACTAGTTCAACAGAGCCCGGACCGCAGCCTCTTGACAAGTTCAACAGAGCCCGGACCACAGCCTCTTGACAAGCTCAACAGAGCCAGGACCGCAGCCTCTTGACTAGTTCAACAGAGCCCAGACCGCAGCCTCTTGACAAGCTCAACAGAGCCCAGACCGCAGCCTCTTGACTAGTTCAACAGAGCCAGGACCGCAGCCTCTTGACTAGTTCAACAGAGCCCAGACCGCAGCCTCTTGACAAGCTCAACAGAGCCCGGACCGCAGCCTCTTGACTAGTTCAACAGAGCCCGGACCACAGCCTCTTGACTAGTTCAACAGAGCCCAGACCGCAGCCTCTTGACAAGCTCAACAGAGCCCGGACCGCAGCCTCTTGACTAGTTCAACAGAGCCCAGACCGCAGCCTCTTGACAAGCTCAACAGAGCCCAGACCGCAGCCTCTTGACTAGTTCAACAGAGCCAGGACCGCAGCCTCTTGACTAGTTCAACAGAGCCCGGACCGCAGCCTCTTGACTAGTTCAACAGAGCCCAGACCGCAGCCTCTTGACTAGTTCAACAGAGCCCAGACTGCAGCCTCTTGACAAGCTCAACAGAGCCCGGACCACAGCCTCTTGACAAGCTCAACCGAGCCCAGACCGCAGCCTCTTGACAAGCTCAACAGAGCCCGGACCACAGCCTCTTGACAAGCTCAACAGAGCCCGGACCGCAGCCTCTTGACTAGTTCAACAGAGCCCAGACCGCAGCCTCTTGACAAGCTCAACAGAGCCCGGACCGCAGCCTCTTGACAAGCTCAACAGAGCCCGGACCGCAGCCTCTTGACAAGCTCAACAGAGCCCGGACCGCAGCCTCTTGACTAGTTCAACAGAGCCCGGACCACAGCCTCTTGACAAGCTCAACAGAGCCAGGACCGCAGCCTCTTGACAAGTTCAACAGAGCCCAGACCGCAGCCTCTTGACAAGCTCAACAGAGCCCAGACCGCAGCCTCTTGACTAGTTCAACAGAGCCAGGACCGCAGCCTCTTGACTAGTTCAACAGAGCCCAGACCGCAGCCTCTTGACTAGTTCAACAGAGCCCAGACCGCAGCCTCTTGACAAGCTCAACAGAGCCCGGACCACAGCCTCTTGACAAGCTCAACAGAGCCCAGACCGCAGCCTCTTGACTAGTTCAACAGAGCCAGGACCGCAGCCTCTTGACTAGTTCAACAGAGCCCAGACCACAGCCTCTTGACTAGTTCAACAGAGCCCAGACCGCAGCCTCTTGACTAGTTCAACAGAGCCCGGACCGCAGCCTCTTGACAAGTTCAACAGAGCCCAGACCGCAGCCTCTTGACAAGCTCAACAGAGCCCGGATCGCAGCCTCTTGACAAGCTCAACAGAGCCCAGACCACAGCCTCTTGACTAGTTCAACAGAGCCCGGATCGCAGCCTCTTGACTACAAGGTGGCAAGTTAATAGCCCTAACAGAAAGAAAACCAAATACAAGAAAACCATGAGTAAAGCAAACCCTATTTATTTGGAAAAATGAAAACTTGTTTCTCAGTAATTGACAGATCAAAGAGAAAACTTGACAGAAATTAGAAAACACCTAGAACAGTCCTGGTGCGGTGGCTCCTGCTTATAATCCCAGCACTTTTGGAGGCGGAGGCAGGCGGATCACGAGGTCAGGAGTTCGAGACCAGGCTGCCCGATATGGTGAAATCCCATCTCTACTAAAAATACAAAAATTAGCCAGGCATGGTGGCGCATGCCTGTAGTCCAGCTACTTGGGAGGCTGAGGTAAGAGAATCGCTTGAACCCGAAATGCAGAGGCTGGAGTGAACTGAGATCCCACCACTGACTCCAGCCTGGCAACAGAGTGAGACTCCATCTCAAAAAATAAATGAACAAACAAACAAACAAACACCTAGAACTACACAGTGATGAAAACAGCATATTTCAGAACCTGTGGCAAATGAGAATGCAGTTCCTAGACTGAAAATCCTGGTCTTTAATGGCTATATTTTAAAAAGAAAACTAGATCAGGCATGTTGGCTCACACCTGTATTCCCAGTACTTTGAGAGGCCAAGGCAGGAAGATCACTTAAGGCCAGGAGTTCAAAATCAGCCTGATTATCATAGTAAGACTGTCTCTACAAAGGGGGGAAAAGAAAAAAAAAAAAAGTTAGCTGGATGTGGTGGTATCATGCGCCTTTAGTCTCAGGTACTTGGGAAACTGAGGCAGGAATATCACTTGAGCTCAGAAGTTCAGTAGTTGAAGGCTTCAGTAAGTCATGATCACATCACTGTAATCCAGCCTGGGTGACAGAGTGAGACTCTGTCTCCAAAAAAAAGAAAAAGAAAGGAAAAAAAAAGGATTCAAGATGAAGTTCCTGTGGGTCCTGACATGGCAGATGGCAGGAAGTCAACAGCCATGTTGGTGTCCAAGGCTGCCTACAGATTTTCTTTTAGTCATCACTGATGGGTTGTATATACCATTGAAATGAATGGCAAGAACACATTCTGGGATCAAGCATGGCGTCCCCAGAATGGTCTTATTGGCTTCACTGTATGACTGACGATCTTCCAACAATAAACAACCTACTATTTGTAAACTCAGTGGACAAACCACAAACTCAAAGTGGGAGACACTCCAGAACAATATGTACCTTATTCCACCGCTAGAAAGAAGATTCAGGAGTAAGTCCCGCCTTCAACACCTCGTAATTACAGAAAATAAAAAACCATTTAAACATGTAAAATATGGGCCTTTTTATGTATTTGTACTTTTAGGGCTCACCATTAGCTTTATTATAATTGACTTAAAAAAAAAAAGAAGACTATAGACTACTGACCTCCCTCTTCAATTTATAACTTACAGGAAAGAACTATGGACTAAACCAATGGGAGGTAGAAGGAAAGTGTTAATAAAAATCACATCACAGGCCAGCCATGGTGGCTCACAAATGTAATCCCAGCACTTTGGGAGGATGAGACGGAATGGATCACCTGAGGTCAGGAGATCGAGACCAGCCTGACCAAAGTGAAACCCCATCTCTATAAAAATACAAAAATGAGTCGGCGTGGTGGTGCGTGCCTGTAGTCCCAGCCACTTGGGAGGCTGAGACAGGAGAATCACTTGAACCCGGGAGGTAGAAGTTGCAATGAATGGAGACTGTACCACTGCACGCTAGCCTTGGCAACAAAGCAAGACTCCATCTTTTTTTAAAAAAAAAAAAAGAAAAAGAAAACAAGAGAGACTTGAAAGCATCTCCCTACAGGTTTGTGAAGGGAGGATGCACATGTACAGTTAAAAGAACTAAAATAGGTCAGACACACAGTGGCTCACGCCTGTAATCCCAGCACTTTGGGAGGCTAAGGCAGGTTGATCACATGAAGCCAGGAGTTTGAGACCAGCCTGGCCAACAGGGCAAAACCCCATCTCCAATAAATATACGAAAATTACCTGGGCATGGTGGTCCACATCTGTAATCCCAGCTACTCAGGAGGCTGAGGAACGAGAATTGCTTGAACCCAGGAGGCGGAGGTTGCAGTGAACTGAGATCACGCCACTACATTCCAGACTAGGCCACAGAGCAAGACTGTATCTGAAAATTTAAAAAAAAAGAAAAGATGAGATAAATCAGACATAGACAGCGTGATATCATTTATGGAAATTTTTCAGACACACAAAATACTCTCTTAGAAGTAAAAATATATCGATACCTTGGCAAGACACCAACCAAGGCTGTGATTATATCTGTCGGGGTAGGGAGGCTAACTTGCCTTAAGGAACAAAAGGAATGTCCATTTCATCTATAATAGAGATGTCCTTTGTTGAAATAGATTTAAATAGCAAGAGCCGGGCCCGGGCGTGGTGGCTCAAGCCTGTAATCCCAGCAGTTTAGGAGGCCGAGGTGGGTGGATCATGAGGTCAAGAGATCGAGACCATCTTGGTCAACATGGTGAAACCCCGTCTCTACTAAAAATACAAAATTAGCTGAGTATGGTGGCACATGCCTATAATCCCAACTACTCAGGAGGCTGAGGCAGGAAAATCGCTTGAACTCAGGAGGCAGAGGTTGCAGTGAGCCGAGATCATGCCAATGCACTGCAGCCTGAGCAACAAGAGCAAAACTCCGTTGAAAACAACTATGGGCCAGGCGCGGTAGCTCAAGCCTGTAATCCCAGCACTTTGGAAGGCCGAGACAGGTGGATCACAAGGTCAAGAGATCGAGACCATCCTGGTCATCATGGTGAAACCCTGTCTCTACTAAAGATACAAAAAATTAGCTGGGCACGGTGGCGCGTGCCTGTAATCCCAGCTACTCAGGAGGCTGAGGCAGGAGAATTGCCTGAACCCAAGAGGCGGAGGTTGCGGTGAGCCGAGATCTCACCATTGCACTCCAGCCTGGGTAACAAGAGCGAAACTGTGTCTAAAACAACAACAACAACTATGTTACTATTACTAAATCTCCTCAGGAAAACAACAAGAAAGTGAAATCACACTCCATCAAATGGGAGAAAATATTTATATATGTATATTTAGAATATAGAAAACTCTTACAATCCAATAATAAAGAGACAGAAACTGTATTTTTAGAAACAAAGGATCTTGCCTTAGTTTGGGCTGCTACAACAAATAGACTGGATGGCTTAAACAATGGGAATCTGTTTCTCACAGAAATGGAGGCTAGAAAGCCCAAAATCAGTGTCAGCATCATCAGTTCTGGTGAAGGTCCTCTTCCTGGTTTGCACATGGCCACCTTCTCAGTGTGCCTTCACAGGGCAGAGGGCAGGAAGCAGGAGCTCCTGAGACCTCTCCTGTCTCCTCTTTTTTTTTTTTTGAGACGGAGTTTCGCTCTTGTTACCCAGGCTGGAATGGCAATGGCGCGATCTCGGCTCACCGCAACCTCCACCTCCTGGGTCCAGGCAATTCTCCTGCCTCAGCCTCCTGAGTAGCTGGGACTACAGGCATGCGCCACCATGCCCAGCTAATTTTTGTATTTTTAGTAGAGACGGGGTTTCACCACGTTGACCAGGATGGTCTTGATCTCTTGACCTCGTGATCCACCCACCGCGAGCTCCCACTGTCTCCTCTTATAAGAGCACTAATTTCATTCAAAAAGGTTTTACCCTCGTGACGTAATTACCTCCCACAGGCCCCATCTCCAAATACCATCACATTGGGAATAAGGCATCAACATATGAATTTTGAGGGGACACTACATTCATTCCATAGGAGTTCTTAATAGATATTTCTCCAAAGACGACATACAAATGGTCAATGAACACATGAAATGATGATCAACATCATTAGACATTAGGGAAACGCTGATCAAAACCACAGTGAGATACCATTTTACACTTACTAGTATAGTCAATATTTAAAAACAAACAAAAACAGTAACAAGTATTCGGAGGACATGGAAAAACTGGAAACCTCATTCATGCTGGTGCAAATGTAAAAGAGTAAAGCTATTTTGGAAAACAGTCTAATGATTCTCAAAAAGGAAAACATAGAGTTATCATATGATCCAGCTATTCCACCCGCTATGGTATGTCTGTCCACACCAAATCTCATGCTGACATTTAATCCCTACTGTGGTGGTGATGGAACATGCAGCCTACTGGGAGGGGTTTGGGTGATGGAGGTGGAACCCTCATGAATGGCTTGGAGCTGTTCTCACAGTAGTGGGTTCTTGCTCTCTTAAGACTAGATTGGTTCTATAGGGGGAGGGGAATGAATTAGTGACCCCAAGAACACGTTGTTATGAGGCCAGGACAGCCCTTGGGTTTGGCTCCCCTTGGTATATGCCCACTTCCCCTCTGTCCTTCTCTGCCATATTTTGATGTAATACAAAAGCCCTCACCAGAAATCATGCAGAGCCATGAGCTAAATAAACCTCTTTCCTTTATAAATTACCCAGCCTCACCCGGTGGTTCACACCTGTAATCCCAGCACTTTGGGAGGCCGAGGTGGATGGATCACGAGGTCAAGAGATCGAGACCATCCTGGTCAAAATGGTGAAACCCCGTCTCTACTAAAAATACAAAAACTTAGCTGGGCATGGTGGCGCGTGCCTGTAATCCCAGCTACTCAGGAGGCTGAGGCAGGAGAATTGCCTGAACCCAGGAGGCGGAGGTTGCAGTGAGCCGAGATCGTGCCATTGCACTCCAGCCTGGGTAACAAGAACGAAACTCCGTCTCAAAAAAAAAATAAATAAATAAATAAATAACTCAGCCTCAGGTATTCCTTTATAGCAATACAAAACAGACTAAGTTTTAATACCTACACTCTTGGTATCTACTCAAGAAAAATGCAAACACATGTCCACAGATAAACTTGTAGATGGATGTTCCTGGCAGTACAATTCATAATAAACAAAAAAGAAGAAACGATCCAAATAAATGCCTAAAAATCAATGAACGGATGAACAGACAAACAAAATGTGATATATCCACATAATGGAATACATCAGCCATAAAAAAAGAATAAAGCATGAATACATGTTTTAACAGATGAATCTTGAAAACACTATGCTCCATGAAAGAAGCCAGACACAGAAGACCATATGTTGTATGACCTTATTTACATGAATTGTCATGAACAGGCAAATCTACATAAATGGAAAGTCAGCTAGTGGTTGCCAGAGGCTGGGGGAGAGGAGGGGAGAATAGGGAGTAACTGCTAATGGGTACAGCTTTTTCTTGGGCTGATTAAAATGCTCTGAAATTAGATGGTGGTTATGGTTGCACAACTCTGAATACACTAAAAACCACTGAATTGCGCACTCTGAATAGGTGAATGCTATGGTATGTATCCCCATAAATGTGTAGTAAGTGTATAGAAGCCTTCAAGAATAGTGCTAGTGATGCTAGGCACATGTCCGCTGGAAAGGGGCAAGTCTCCTTCAGCCTGACCTCTAGCTCTCTCTCACCATGGCAGTATTACCTGGAAGGGCACGTGGGCTACCTTCAGAGGTGTTAGGTTGTCAAAAAGATTGAGGCAGGGGAAGCTGCTAGGATCTGATGAGCCTGGGCTGAGGATACCAGATAGGGTACCATGCTCAGGAACACCCCACATGATGCCTGACCATCCTGTGGAACAATGTTCCTGCAGGTATCCAGCTGGGGTACTTCAGAATGGAACGACATTACGTGTGCTATATAAGACATAAGCGGAAAGGTGCCTTCATTTTTAGAAGGAAGCTTATAGCAAATCCAGATACTGTCCTGAATTCATGGACACTCATACCTCACTCTAAATTCTCTCTCCTTGTTGAAAATTGGTCATACCAACTACACCCCTTGCTATACTTTGAATGTCTGTGTTCCTCCCCAAAATTCATCCTGAAATCCTGACTCCCAAGCTCATGGTATTAGGAGGTGGGTCTTGTGTGGAGGTGATTATATTATGAAGGTAGTATTGGGATTAGTGCACTTAGGAGGCCCCAGAGAGCTCCCTTGCTCCTTCCACCCTGTGAGGACAGTTAGAAGGCACCATCTATGAAGCAGAAAGTGAGCAAGAGCACTCACTAGACACCGGATCTTCTCATGCCTTCATCTTAGACTTCCCAGCTTCCAGATCTGTAAGAAATAAACTTTTGTTGTTCATAAGCTACCCGGTTTATTGTATTTTCTTACAGCAGCCTGAACAGATTAAGACATTGTTAGTCGACGAGAGCCTGAGTACCACAGTGAAATAACAAATGATCACACGTATACAGGAAAACATTAGGACAAGCTTAAGAAAAATACTGTTTAATTAGGACACTTAATGTAAGAATTTCAATTAAATTAAGATTGTTTTCAAAATATCTCCTATTTATTATTTTTAGCCATACAATGGTAAAAAAAAATTATGATTCTGATTATTATTTGAGACAGAGTCTTGCGCTGTCACCCAGACTAGAGTGCAGTGGGACTATCACAGCTCACTGCAGCCTCAACCTCCTTGGTCCAAGCCATCCTCACATCTCAGCCTCCAAAGTAGCTAGGACTACAAGTGTGTGCCACCATGCCTAGCTAATTTTTTTTTTTTAATTTCTGTAGTAAGAGGGTCTTACTATGTTGCCCAGGCTGGTCTGGAACTGCTGGCTTCAATCAATCCTTCTGCTTAGGCCTCCCACAGTACTGGGATTACAGGTGTGAGCCCCCACACTCAGCCAGTACAAACATTATGTTGTAAAAAATTCATCTTGATGGTAGTTCACATATATTTTGGGTTTCCTATTTTCCCTCTCTTTTTTAAATTTTTTTTTGAGATGGAGTCTCGCCCCGTTGCCAGGCTGGAGTGCAATGGAGTGTTCTCGGCTCATTGCAACCTCTGCCTCCCAGGTTCAAGCAATTCTCCTGCCTCAGTCTCCCGAGTAGCTGGGACTACAGGCACACGCCACCACGCCCAGCTAATTTTTGTATTTTTAGTAGAGACAGGGTTTCACCATGTTGGCCAGGATGGTCTCGATCTCTTGACCTCGTGATCCGCCTGCCTCGGCCTCCCAAAGTGCTGGGATTACAGGCATGAGCCACCTGTTTTCCCTCTCTTCCTCTGACCCTGCCTTGTCCATCATAGACACTTTCTGAAGTCCCCGGTATTACTGATTCTTTCCCTAACTTGTCCTCTTCCCCATTGCCATTGGTGGAAGTGATCTCCAAGAATTTCTTTTTTTTCTGAGACAGAGCTGCACTCTGTGGCAAGTGCAGTAGTGCAATCGTGGTTCACTGCAGCCTCAGCCTCTCAGCCTCAGACGATCCTTTCACCTCAACCTCCTGAGTAGCTGAGACTACAGGCATGCACCGCCACACCCAGCTAATGTTTTGTTATTTTTTGTAGAGACAGGGCTTTGTCATGTTGCTTAGGCTGGTCTCAAACTCCTGGGCTCAAGCCATCCCCCTGCCTCGGCCTCCCAAAGTGCTGGGATTACACGCGTGAGCAACTACATCTGGCCAAAATATAAATCTAAACCACCATAAGATACAACTTCACACCCACTAGATGGCTGTAATCAGTTCCACTCCTAGGTAGCTGTCTCAAAAGAAATGAAAACATGTATTCTTGGCTGGGTGCAGTGGCTCACGCCTATAATGAGAACTTTAGAAGGCCAAGGCAGGCAGATTGCTTGAGCCCAGGACTTTGAGACCAGCGTGGGCAACGTGGTGAAACCTCCTCTATACAAAAAATACAAAATTTAGCCAGGCATGGTGATGCACACCTGTAGTCCCAGGCACTCAGATGGCTGAGACGGAAGGACTTCTTGTGGAAGCCAAGGCTGCAAGTTACACTCCAGCCTGTGTAACAAAGCGAGACTGTCTCAAAAAAAAAAGGTGGAAACAATTCAATGTCCATCAACTGGTGAACGGATAAGCAAAATGTGTCCTATCTGCACAATAAAATATTCATCCATAAAATGAACAAAGACACGTGCTATAACATGAAACATCTTCCTAAGTCTCAGAAGCCACACACAAAAGACCACATATTGTAGGCCATTTATATAAAATATACATAATAGGCAAATCTATAAAACAGAAAATAAAAAAATTTTTTAAAACAGAATTTTGCTCTTGTTGCCCAGGCTGGAGTGCAATGGTGTGATCTCGGCTCACTGAAATATTAGCCTCCCGGATTCAAGTGATACTCCTACCTCAGCCTCCCAACTAGCTGGGATTACAAGTGTGTGCCACCACGCCCAGCTAATTTTTTGTATTTTTAGTAGAGGTGGGATTTCACCACGTTGGTCAGCTGGTCTCGAACTCCAGACCTCAGGTGATCCAACCGCCTCAGCCTCCCAAAGTGCTGGGATTACAGGTGTGAGTCACTGTGCCCGGCCAAGACAGAAAGTAGATTAGTGATTGCCTAGGGCTGAGAAGGATGGGAAAGATGGAGGAGTGACTGCTAACGAGTATGGGTTTTCTTCCTGGGGCTGAGAAAAACATTCAAAGATTGATTATGGCAGGCCAGGCACCGTGGCTCACGCCTGTAATCCCAGCACTTTGGGAGGCCGAGGCGGGTGGATCACGAGGTCAGGAGATCGAGACCATCCTGATCAACATGGTGAAACCCTGTCTCTACTAAAAATACAAAAAATTAGCTGGGCATGGTGGCGCGTGCCTGTAATCCCAGCTACTTGGGAGGCTGAGGCAGGAGAATTGCCTGGACCCAGGAGGCGGAGGTTGTGGTGAGCTGAGATCGTGCCATTGCACTCCAGCCTGGGTAACAAGAGCGAAACTCCGTCTCAAAAATAAAATAAAATAAAAAGATTGATTACGGCAATGGATGTACAAGCTAGTTAACAGAATTTAAAAACTGAATTGTACACCTTAAAAGAGTAAATTGCATGATACATGAATTTTATCTCAATAAAGCTGTATAAAAGAGTACGTATGTGTTGAGTCTGTGACGGTCGAAACCACTGGTCTAGACCCCATTTGGCACATTTCTGGTATTTTCGGACTTTATGAGGGAAATAACAGTCCTTGCAGGGATATGTTGAGCTCATGTAGAATTCCACTTCCTGGTACTCCTGAAAGGCAGAAGGATCCACTCAGGCCAGGTGCGTGAATACCTGACATCGACAGTTGCTGGACATTAGCCATTTATGCCCATCCACATGGCTCCGGCCATCTCTGTGGAACACCCACAATAGTGTTTACTTTACATGTTCACAACTCATTAACAAAAACAAATCATTTACCAACTTTAAGCCCGTGCTGATAAAGTCAGCCATCTGATTACAAGTGTGATAAAGAGTCTGACTCCATTTTGGATGGTTACTGACAGCCTTCAAGTCCCCCACCGCTTTCTCCTTCTCCCTCTCATCTGGGCAAGCTAACAAGAAAGTCTGGGTGTTTCCTCCTTGGTGCTAGCAGGAAGTTCAAACTATGCAAACCTCAATAAATGCAAGGCCACCCTCGCCCCAGACCCACTATCTAATCACAATGAAAGCCCAGCCGAGGCCGGGTGCAATGATAATTATACCTATAATCCCAGCACTTTGGGAGGTCTAGGCAGGAGGATCGCTTGAGCCTAGGAGCGAGGCCAGCTTGGACGATGCAGTGAGACGCCTTTAGCCAGGTGTGATGGTGCATACCTGAAGTCCCAGCCTCTTGGGAGCCCAGGAATTCAAGACTGCAGTGAGCTGTGATCATACCACTGCATTCTAGCCTGGGTGAAACAGCAAGACCTTGACTCAAAGAAAAGAAAACAAAAATAAGAAAAATTGTATAGTATTTTTGTGGTGAAAACTTGCAAAAGTTTACTGAAAACCTCAAAGGGCACTTGGGTAAGTAGGGAGCTAGACCAGGTACAAAGATGAAAGGGCCCAGTACTGAAACCAGGACAACTCTCACTAGACTGACAAGGCAATGCCTCCTAAGCAAGTCTCTGATATGATTTTACTGAAACCTGAAAAATTCACACTGAAGAAGACGGATCCTGAAATAGCCATGAGAACTGATTTAAGAACAAAAGTAAGGGAGGAAGAAGAGCTGGGAGTAGCTGTTTTGCCAAAGTCAAGGCTTTTCCTTAAAGTTCCAGTACGCAAGCAACCCAGTGAAGGTACAGGAAGGACAGGGCCCCAAACAGACTTGGAGGCATATAATAATTTAGAAGGTGGTAAAGTGGCCTCACGTATTAGTAAGAGTACGTATTTCTCCTGCTGTCTTTTCAGATGGGAAAATAATTACAATTCCTAACTCACACACACTCACACACATGCTTACAAGACCTACACAGTATGTGAGAAAAAATTTTTTTGAATGATTAAAAGTATAGAACTAGGCTGGGCACGGTGACCCACGTTTGTAATCCCAGCACTTTGGGAGGCCGAGGCAGGTGGATCACCTGAGGTCAGGAGTTCGAGACCAGCCTGGCCAACATGGAGAAACGCTGTCTCTACTAAAAATACAAAAATTAGCTGGGCGCGGTGGCGAGCGCCTATAATCTCAGTTACTCAGGAGGCTGAGGCAGGAGAATTGCTGGAATCTGAGAGGTGGAAGTTGCAGTGAGCAAAGATCACGCCATTGCACTTCAGCCCTGGTGACAACAGTGAGACTCGGTCTAACAAAAAAAAAAGAACTACAAGAATATTTTTATCATGGTAGAAAGAATTTATTTTCTTGATACCTTTTGAGATAAGACAAAGAAATAGAAAAAATATAAATAAAAAAGAATTTCTTTCTTTTTTTTTCAGATGGAGTCTCACTCTGTTGCCCAGGCTGGAGTGGAGTGGCATGATCTCAGCCCACAACCTCCACCTCCTGGGTTCAAGCAATTCTCTTGCCTCAGCCTCCCAGGTAGCTGGGACTACAGGTACCCACCACCACACATGGCTAATTTTTTATATTTTTAGTAGAGACGAGGTTTCACCTTGTTGCCCAGGCTGGTTTCAAACTCCTGACCTCAGGCGATCCACCCAACCATAATTTTTCTTTTTTAATGTTAAGATTGGATCTCGCTATTGCCCAGTCTGGTTTCAAACTCCTGACTCAGGCAATCCCCCAGCCTTAGACTCCCAAAGTGCTGGAATTAAGGTGTGAGCCACAGCACCAGGCCAAAAGGGTTTTCTTTTTTTTTTTTTTTTTTTAAATTTTGAGACGCCGTCTCACTCTGTCACCCAGGCTGGAGTGTAGTGGCGTGATGTTGGCTCACTGCAACCTCCGCCTTCTGAGTTTAAGCAATTCTCCTACCTCAGCCTCCCGAGTAACTTGGATTACAGGTGACTGCCACCGTGCCCAGCTAATTTTTGTATGTTTAATAGATATGGGGTTCCACCATACTGGCCAGTCTGGTCTTGAAATCCTGACCTCAAGTGATCTGCCTGCCTCAGCCTCCCAAAGTGCTGGGGTTACAGGACTGAGCCCCACGCCTGGCCAAAGAATTTCTTAAACAACACATAAAAGGCACAAAACATAAAGAAAAAGATGTGAAACATCTTATGTCAAAATGAGTAACACACCATGAACATAAGATTAAAAGAACATTCAAAGTACCACCTCGAGAATGGTTTATCAACTACAAAAGGGAAAAAGTGGAGGATCTCGACAGAGAGCACGTTAACCACATGACAGAAGTCTGACCACCACCAACCTCACATGCTTCCTGACATGACACACCAAGAAGAACATGTCACTTAGGTCATTCCCTGCCAAAGGTAAGGGTCTGAATTTAATACTGGGACTAACAATCAAGTGACAACCTACACAACAACCAACTGGGTCTTTTAAAAATATATCAATTTCATGGAAAAAAAAATGAAAGGAGGGTGCCATCCAAGGTTGAAGGAGACTAAAATACTTGACAAGTAAATGTAACACAGGATCCTGGATCAAAACCAATACCAAAAAACCATACAAACTATATCAGACAAGGGTTCTAGATCAATAATAAAGTACCTGGGGCCAGGTGCAACAGCTCAGGCCTATAATACCAGCACTGTGGGAGGCTGAGGTAGGCAGACCACTTGAGGTCAGGAATTCAAGACCAGCCTGGCCAACACAGCCAAACCCTGTCTCTACTAAAAACACAAATATTAGCTGGGCCTCGTGGCACATGCCTGTACTTCCAGCTACTTGGGAGGCTGAGGCAGGAAAATCATTTGAGCCCGGGAGGCGGAAGGTACAATGAGCTGAGATCACACCACTGCACTCTACTCTGGGTGACAGACTAAGACTCTATCTTAAAAAAAAAAAAAAAAAGTATTTGGGTGTGGTAATAACACGAGTTTTGTTCAAGAATGTTCTTTTTAGCGAGGTGTGGTGGCTCTCACCTGTAATCCCAGCACTTTGGGAGGCCATGGCAGAAGAACTGCCTAAGGCCAGGAGTTCAAAACAAGTCTGGGCAACACAGTGAGACCTCATCTCCAAAAAATACAAAACTTAAAATAAGAAAGTAAGCTGGGCGTGGTGGCTGACGCCTGTAATCCCAGCACTTTGGGAGGCCGAGGTGGGCAGATCACTTAAGGTCAGGAGCTCGAGACCAGCCTGGCCAACATGGTGAAACCCCATCCGAAAAAAAAATAAGAAAGTTATTTTTCTTGCTGGCCGGGCGCGGTGGCTCATGCCTATAATTCCAGCACTTTGGGAGGCCGAGGCAGGTGGATCAAGAGATCAAGGTCAAGAGATCGAGACCATCCTGGTCAATAAGGTGAAACCCTGTCTCTACTAAAAATACAAAAATTAGCCGGGCATGGTGGTCCTGTAGTCCCAGCTACTTGGGAGGCTGAGGCAGGAGAATTGCTTGAACCCAGGAGGCAGAGGTTGCGGTGAGCCGAGATCGTGCCATTGCACTCCAGTCTGGGTAACAACAGCGAAACTCTGTCTCAAAAAAAAAAAAAAGTTATTTTTCTTACGAAATCCTGGCTGAAGTATTTCAGAGTGAAGTATGGTATCTACCACATACTTTCAGTAACTCAGTCAAAAAAACCTAAGTGTATGTAAATATATGTCTGTACCACACCTGCCTCTGCAACACTTGCTGTGTGTACATGTATGTACGTAAAATATAAAAAAGGGAACCCTATGTCAGAGGTGTCTGAACCAAAGCAACTCCACCTTAAATAGGGGCTGGGTAAAATAAGGTTGAGACCTACTGGGCTGCATTCCCAGACAGTTAAGGCATTCTAGGTCACAAGATGAGAGAGGAGATTGGCACAAGATACAGATCATAAAGATCTTGTTGATAAAACAGCTTGCAGTAAAGAAAGTGGCTAAAACCCACCAAAACCAGGATGGCGACGAGAGTGACCTCCAGTTATTTTCCCACCAGCACCGTGACAGTTTACAAATATCATGGCAATGTCAGGAAGTTACCCTATGTGGTCTAAAAAGGGTAGGCATAAATAATCACCCCTGTCCTTAGCATATAATCAAGAAATAACCATAAAAATGGGCAACCAGTTCTTGGGGATGCTCTATCTATGGAGTAGCCATTCTTTTATTCCTTTACTTTCTTAATAAACTTGCTTTCACTTTATGGCCTCGCCCTAAATTCTTTCTTTCTGGAGATACAAGAACCCTCTCTTGGGGTATAGTTCCGGCCCCTTTTTGTGGTGACATCTATGCATGTGTTTGAGGCAGGGAGAGGAGAAAGGTAAAGCTAATGTGCCAACAAGTGTTAATAATTTGAGAATCTGGATGGTTTTACATGTGTTAAACTATTCCTGCAACTTTTATGTAAATGTGAAACTTTCAAAATTAAAAGTTTGGTTTAGAGGGAAACAAGCAGTAGAATGGAGGAAAAGTCAGCTGCTGTGGGAAAAGCAAAACAGACAAAAGCTTGGTATTCAAAACATACTCTTACAATCCCACGTTCCTAATAGCCAAATTCTTTTACTTGGCAAAAGATAAGGAACCTTTCCAGGCTGACGGTAATTTTAATAAAGGTTTAGATTGCATTTGTCAAAACTCCTCAAATGGTACAGTGAAGATCTGTGCATTTCACTGAAAGTCAATTTGGGCTCAAAAAATTTAAAAAAGCACTACTGAACTCTAATTCATATTAAGGATAGTGAGGTGTTTGAGGGAGAAGTGTTATCTACAACTTAATTTGAAATGTTTCCCCAAAAGGTGGATTAATGGATGGCTGAAAGGATGGACAGAAGGAATGATAAGGAATACACTAAGTTCAGCAGATGTTAACCGGGTTGTTCAGTGAACAATTCTTTCAGCTTCTCTATATAAACCAGTATTTTTTGTCGTAAAATACTGAGACTGGGAGAGTGCACGACGAAAAGAAACCACAAAACGAAGGGAAAAGACAGCGAAATGGTCACTAAACAGGTGCAAAAATTAGGCCCCCACTTAGAATTGCAGTAAAACATGATTTTGCAATTATCAAATGGAAAAACACACAGGTGATCTAACACCTGCCGGACTCAAAAGGAAGCGGCTCAGCCCATTGGCTCAGGGCAGCCAATTCAGCCGGAGGCCGACCCACGCCTACACCGCCACTCCCACCCGCCGGCAGAAAAGCGGTAGACTCGGGGATGACCCCAGGAGACGGACCAGAATACCCAGCAGGCGCGGCAGAACGGTCGCCGTGGGAGAGTCGGATAGGGACAGGAGCGCGGAACTCACGGGTGACGCGAAGGAACGACGGAGGCGTCCACACCAGCCTGAGAGCGACCTAGCCCTCGGGAGCGTAGCCACCCGCAACAAGAACAGCGCCCTGGCCAGACCCCCGCCCTCGAGGGCCCGACATGCCCACTACCCAGGTGAAGCCCACCTGCGGACCCGCCCCTCGCCGCCCCACCGGGATCCGGCGGGCCTCCACCCGCCACGCCGCCCCGCAGAGGGAAACGGAGGCAGCAAACGGCCCAGGGATGCGTCGGCACTTACGGTTGGGCGCCGGCGGCAGCCATGTTCCCTGCGATTGCGCTTGCGCGGCTGCCGGGACCTGGATGTGCGCGTGCGCGAGGCCCCCAAGCTCCCCCCGCCCAGCGACCGGGTGGCCGTGGGTACGGGGTTAATCTTTACCCGGGCGTGGGGTTATCTCGGGGCGGACGCGCAGGCTTTTTAAAAAAAAATCTTTTTTTTTATAGAGCCTTCCTTTTATTTACTGCATAATTTGCTAAAATATTTCTATATCCATAATTTTTTTTTTTTTTGAGAAAAATGTTAAAATTCAGATAAGTACACTCATTATTCATTGGCAATATATGTACTGGGTGTGTGGCTCACGCCTGTATTCCCAGCATTTGGGGAGGCCTAATTTGTTAAAATAACTAGATGTAAGAAATGTAGAGGGGCGGCGGCTAGGAAATAAATAAATAAATAAACAAAGCCAGTAACTTTCCTCAGTAATGACAACAGCCGGTTGAAAATGAAAACTACACATTTTTTCATTCCTTCCGTGGTTCTCTTAAATTTTAGCATGGGAAAGTTGGAAGCCTAAATATTTACTGCGAGAAAGAAATTATGGTATGTGCAACGGAGCAAAAGAGGGTGGTTAAAACAAACCGACTAACTTACATACAAGATGAACAGTTCTCTAAAAACAAATTGCAGGCCATGCGCGGTGCCTCAGCCTCCTGAGTAGCTGGAATTACAGGCGCGCACCACCACACCTGGCTAATTTTTGTATTTTTAGTAGAGATGAGGTTTTACCATGTTGGCCAGGCTGGTCTTCAAAACTCCTGACCTCAGGTGATTCGCCCACCTTGGCCCCCCAAAGTGCTGGGATTATGGGCATGAGCCACCGTGCCCGGCCACAAGTGTGTATTCTTCTAGGTCACAAGTTAGCAAACTTTTTCTGTAAAAAACCCAATGATAGTTTCAGCTTTGCAGACCGTAAGGTCTCTTCCATGACGACCCAACTCTCTCAGATAGCAGCCATAGATAACACTAAACGAACGAGTGAGGCTGCATTCCAACAGAACTTTACAAGAATAGGAGGCCCTTCTACACAAGCTGAGTCAAGAAATAAAAATTAAAAAAAAAAAAAAAAAGAATAGGAGGCCCACTGAGGCCATTGTTTGCCAATCCCTGTTCAGGAATTATCTGTTTGTTCTTAGGGTAGGAGCCTTTCTACATCAAGATTAGCATCCCAGAATTCATTTACAAAATGATACTTTTTTTTTTCCTTGGAGATGGGGTCTTGCTTTGCTGTCCAGGCTATAGTCCAGTGGCATGATCGTATCTCACTGCATCCTTGACCTCCTGGACTCAACCAATCCTCCCATCTCAACTGCCCAACTTGCTGGGACTACAGGTGTAGGCCACCGTGCCAGGCTAATTTTTTTTTTTTTGAAACGGAGTCTAGCTTTGTCGCCCAGGCTGGAGTGAAATGGCATGATTTTCGGTCACTGCAACCTCTGCCTCCCGGGTTTAACAGATTCTCCTGCCTCAGCCTCCTGAATAGATGGGATTATAGGCATATGCCACCACACCCGGCTAATTTTTGTATTTTTTTAAAAAGTAGAGTCGATCGGGGTTTTGCCATGTTGGTCAGGCTGGTCTGAACTCCTGACCTTGTGATCCACCGGTTTCAGCCTCCCAAAGTGCTGGGATTACAGGCGTGAGCCATCGCACCGGGCCTGCCTGCTTAATTTGTTAGTAGAGATGGGGGGTGGGGTGTCTCACTGTTTTATCCAGGCTGCTCTTAAACTCTAGGGTTCAAGTAATCCTCAGCCTCCCAAAGTGCTAGGGTCACAGGCGGAAGCCACCTTGCCTGGCCAACATATGTGACTTTTTGTTATTTTGAGATAGTCCTGCTCTATTGCTCAGGCTGAAGGGCAGTGGCGGGATCTAGGCTCCCTGCAACCTCCAACCTCTGCGTCCCCGGTTCAAGCGTTTCTCCTGTCTCAGCCTCCCGAGTAGCTGGGATTACAGACACCTGCCACCACACGCAGCTAATTTTTGTTTTTTAGTAAAGACGGTTTCACCATGTTGCCCAGGCTGGTCTCAAACTCCTGAGCTCATACTGCCCACCTCGGTCACCCAAAGTACTGGGATTACAGGCGTGAGCCACACCTGTGGCTTCATCAGTGCCAGGCTATAGTCCAGTGGCATGATCGTATCCAGTGGCACTCAACGCCTTTTGCTGCTGCCTCAACATCCCTTTCAGGCCTTCACTGACTTATGCCACAAGGCACTTCTGCCCAGGGGTAAAGAGCCAAACCAGCTTCTGCTCGCCCCAGCCCTCCTGCCAGAAAGGCCCTCTGGCCTTTGTCCAATTGCTGGACGCTGCCCCTTCTTTCCGGTCTCCTCCTCCTGGAGGCACTCCCAGACGTCCCAGTGGAACCACGCGGTCCGTGCCCCGTCCACTTATTTTCCCTGAGCTCACAAAATCCACAACTACTATTACATCGACACAGACAGACTCATAAGCAGCTCCTTGTCCTTTTTTTCCTCCTGAGCTCGGGAACGTCTGACGGGGGTGAGAGGCACTCGCAGACTGCCCAGGCCGGGGTGGCGGCCGTCACCTGGCCAGGCGTTCGGGAACTGGCTCGGGGGGCTGACGGCGAAGTCAGCTGAGGCGAGGGGGATTCTTGGACCGTGGGAAAGATCGCAAGCAGGGAAGGCCCCGCCCCCTGCCGGATCTGGGGGAGGCCCCGCCCCCTGCCGGATCTGGGGACGATCCCCACCCAGCCAGCCGCCGGCTCCACGCGAGTCGCCGAAGCCCCAGCCCGGGCGCCCACGGCGGAGAACCCACAGCCGTGTTGCGGGCCGCCCAGGTCGCGGACTGAGCGCCCCGGCCCCCGTCTACCCCGCAGTAGCTTGGGGAGCCCGGGTCACCACGCCCAACCGCCAAAGCGAACGCCGACCCCTCAGCTGCGCAGCGCGCGCCCTTTGAGGGCCCCCCCATCCACCCTCGCTGCGCAGGCGTGGTCTTCCGGAGCCTCCATCTCCCGGAAATCACCGCTGCGCGGCGCTCCACCGCTTCCTCCCTGTGCTTGCGTAAGCCGCGGCGATGGCGCCCTCTAGCGGCAGCAGGAGGGTTGTGGTGGTCCTGAGAGTTGCGGTGTTCTGGGGTCACACACAGCGCCCGCCTTGAGGGGACCCGAGCGTGAGAGGGAAAAACGCCCGTGATGCCAAGGCTTGCGCAGTAGACAGCCAAAAACCTGAAACCCCGCGGTGCTCCGTGCGATTCACTTTCCAGAGGTGCCTCAAGGCCCCGACGCCGGCCTGGAGGGAGCGGGGGTGACTATCCCGAGACTGAAGCTCACTTTCGGATCCTGGGCGTTCTTGTCAGGATTTTTATTAATACAGTGGCTTAGTGATAGTTTGTTGAGAAACTCCCTGAGGAGGGCCGAGCGCAGTGGTTCACGCCTGTAATCCCAACGCTTTGGGAGGCCGAGGCTGGCGGATCACTCGAGGTCAGGAGTTCAAGACCAACCTGGCCAACATGGTAAAACCCCTTCTCCATTAAAAATACAAAACTTAGTCGGGCGTGATAGCGGGCGCCTGTAGTCTCAGCTACTCGGGAGGCTGAGGCAGGAGAATTGCTTGAACCCGGGAGGCGGAGGTTGCGGTGAGCCGAGACAGCCATCGTGGTGCCATTGCACTACAGCCTGGGCAAGAGAGTGAGAGTCTCTCCAAAAAAAAAAAAAGAGAAAGAAAAAGAAACTTCCTGAAGAGCAAGAAATTCCCTCAGCCAAAGAAATGAGAACTGAAAAAGTAATAATTTATTGGATTTAACGTACCCCAACATTTTTTAAAGAACATTTTTGAAACAGGCAGAAATTTTGAAACAATTGTGTGGGCCTGGCTCTGTCCCTCACGCCTGTACTTTCAGCACTTTGGGAGATTGGGAAGGGAGGGTCGCTTGAGCTCATTGTGGGTCAAGATAGCCAGAGGAAGACCTATGTTAATTCCATCTAAATAATTATGAGCTTGGCAAATGTCACATTGTGCTATATGTATAGGAAAGAAAAAATAATAATAAGCTTGCTTGGCTCAGAGTACACTGAAGTTTATACGCCCAACTAAACCGTATATTGGTGCTTAATTAGAAATCAAGCCACATCAGGAATCCTAAGGTAAAGACCATCCAAGAGCATAGTAACACCGGGGAACACCTCGGGGTGGTCGCAGAGTGGGGAATACTGCTCTGGTCCCACGAATGCCTTCTCAACGTGGAAGCTGTATGAGAGGCTTATAAAGAGGGCTTATTTACATAAGATCTCTGAGAAGGGAGGCAACCTCTGCTCACAAGATCCCACAACATCTGGAAGGGTCTTTGCAGATGGGAGCTTGCAAGGAGAAAAGCCTTGCAGGGCAGAGATCACGGAACACCTCACACTCTGCCTAGGTTCTCGGAATATGGAGTGATTTTAATTGCTCTATGTCCTCAATGCTTAGGAGATAAATACCCCTTGATGCATGGGGTGTGGTCAGACCCCGTGGCTCCTCATCTGCTAAACTTCTGATGCAGCCATACCTTGTACTGTAACTCCTTTATCAGGAAGAGAGACTTTTGCTCCAAGCCTGTGATACAACATACGTCCTTTCAGGCAGGGATGCCACTGCCTGCATCTTTGGTTCTTGTCCTGGCGTGGCTGTTTTCCCATGTACTGCTTCTGTTCTGTGACTGCTCTAGGCATTCCTCCTGCTACAGACTACTATATAGTTATGTAGAATGATTCTATAAATCAGCACTAAATGTGTCAATACAGCTCCGACTACAATACCTATAAGATTATATAGGCAGATTATATAGAGCTGAGTATGCTAGATTTAAGTATGATTATATAAGCTAGATATATGTAAGCAGTAAGTTATACTTAAGGTGCTTATTCTATAAACTAATATATGATTATATATAAAAGATTATATGAAGGAAATAGCCGAGTAATAACACTATAAATTAAGATATTCTTCAGGCACTAATTGTGCCTGGGGTCTGGACAGTTCTCCTTCCTTGGTGCCCATAGTGGATGTTACCCAC